TTTGTATATTTTTTTGCTTTTTGTAAACTGTAAATGAATCAAGTTTGGGCAAAACAAGACATTTGAAGATGCTAATATATAGTTTGGGAATCAGATTTAACTACACTTGATAAATTCTTGATTCATAGATCAGTTGCCCTGGTAAATAAATGCTACCCAATTGATAAATAAAATAAATATATTTTTGCAGTTCTAAATAATGAAATATTAAATAATGGCTGCTATGTTTTATAAGCTAAAGCAGTCAAATTTCAAATGGATCATTAGGTAAATAAAATGACTTACAGAGCTGGCTTTTTTAAACATATGAAAGCTACAAGTTTGTTAAAAAAAAAAAAGTAAATGTGCTGCATTTGCATTAAAAGCAAAAACAAAATAAATAAAATCTTTACATCAGCTTTGATTATGGGATGTATGGACTGTATATGACCAATATATCATTATCCAATAAACCAATCTTTTAACTCTACAAAATCCAGTAGTAGTACAATGGAGAGAGACTTCAGCAGAAGGGATTTAACTGATCTGCTTTGCCTCTTTTTATTTGTGTTATGAATGATATTAATTGACTGCTATAACACTGCAGTTCCATCCATCCATCCATCCATAATCACACAGGATTCATAATGTTAACTATTATTGTATATCACTGCTTTGGTATTCTGCTTAATATTCTTATAATTCTACTAATTCATTGGTGACCTCTAGTGGAGATGACTGTAAACAGATTCACTGAGTTCACAATCACTATACCAACAATAAGGTGTTTAAATGTAGTTCTTTTAAAGCACAAACTGAGTGCAACCTAGTCCACTCTTTTTCAGGGCCATACTGATGTGTGGATAACAGCTGACAGGGCCTACAGTATGTGGTACTTATACGTGCTACACAGTTTTTGAGGGACACACTCACCAGCCACTTTGTTAGATTCACCTGTTCAGTTGCTTGTTAATGCAAATATCTCTTTAGCCAATCACATGGCACTAACTAAATGCATTTAGACATATAGACAGGGTCAAGATGACTTGTTACAGTTCAGAATAGGGAAGAAATGTGATTGAATTGACTTTGAACACAGCATGATTGTTGGCACCAGGCAGGTCTGTTTGTTTCAGAAACTGCAGATCTGCTGGGATTTTCCTGCAAAAACATCTCTAGTGTTTACACAAAACAGTTTAAAAAAAGAAAAAACACCCAGAGAGCAGCAGTTCTCTAGGTTAAAATTCCTTCTTGATGCCAGAGGTCTGAACAGAATCAAATGTTTGATCATGTGGAGATTATAAACTGAAGTACAGCACCAGAGGTTGTGGTTCTACCCACAGTAAAACATCTCTCGAAGCCAAATACAAACAAACAAACAAGCAAACATATTGGTTCGAATTGGTACACATTACACTTTTGTGTTTAGATTTCATCACATCCCATTGTAAGTGCATGAATGCATTAATATGGAGTTAGCCAGTCACATGTATAACAGCTTTCCCTTTTCTTGGAAGGCTTTCTACAGGATTTTGGAATGTGTCTGTGGGAATTTTTGCCCATTTATCCAGAAAAAACATTTGTGAGATGAAACTCTGAGGCTGGCTCCCAGGAGCCGTTCCAGGTCATCCCAAAGGTGTTTGATGGTGTTGAAGCTGAGATTCTGTGCGGCCCAGTCAACTTCCACCACATTAAACCCATCCTTTATGCACCTTGCTTTGTGCACTGGGGCACAGTCACCTTTATCCCTGCAAAATAGGAAGCATGGAATTATACAAAATGTCTTGGTTAGACAAGAGATTTCCCTCACTGCAAATAAGGTGCCGGAGACTACTCTAGAAATAATCATATAACTTTATTAAATGATTAGGCAGTGTAGCTGAATACCTTTGTCCAGTGTGTGAACACCCGTTCGGTGCAAAAAACAAGTGTAGTACAAATGCTCCCTCTGCTGGACAAGTGGATTAAATGGGTTGCTGTTAACCTCGCTGAGTTCCCTGACAGGTTCATGTCCCCACAGCGAAGCCAATCCAGTGCAGTTGCTGAGCCGAAGTAGAGGAAAAGACGCCTTCCCACTTCCTTAAAGCCCCAGCTAATTGTCCAAGCTCCGGTCTGCCAGGTAGTTAGTGTTGCGAAACCGTGTGTCTGACAGACAAACCCAGTTCATCGATGAACACAGACAAAGACATGCTATGCTGGCCTCACAAGCTAATGTTATGCTAGCTGTTGTTTCCGTGGTTACCAGCGCTAGCTTCTATGTCGTTAGCTTAGCCACCTAGCATACATGGTCAGCTATCAGTCTGTGCTCGAGTACACACCTTGATCGGTTAGTTAAGATAAACAATACCGTATCATTTGTTTCGCAACCTAAGTAAGTAGTATTGTGAATAATGAGCAGTGTTAAGGAAGCAGGAGGTGCATGTTTGTGTTGTGATAAACATGACCTTTGACTTAAGCAAAGCTACAATGACCTTTCAGCTAACAAAAGTGACAGCAGTGAAAAATTGTTCAGATACAACTAATGCTCAACCAATAAAAACGAGACAGTATAACACCACAGACGACAAACTTTTTAGTTTGCATGGGCAGTATAAACATATTCATAATGCGTGTGTATTTTATACAGTTTCCAGTGACTAAAACCAAGTAAATTTCTTAGTTTATTATTATAAGTAAAATAACATTAAATACATGGTTTCTTCTAAATATGTGGATTTTTGGATATCATTTCTTAGCGCTCATATCCTATGTCAATGTCACACTTTTTTTAGTAGCACAGATAATTCTACCTTAAGATGCAGTGATAGTGTCCATAAAGGAAAATGTTTCTGTTAACGTAACATCATTTATATTTGGCCATAATTACTTCCATGGTAACAGCACGTCTGCACCAAAAATACTGCGCATGTTTCTTGAAGTGACATCACTAAGAGTAAATAGTGTGGTATGAGGAAGAAGTACACAGATGGTGGTGAGTTTACACTTTGCCTTACAGCATTTTTCTTTTTTGCTAAATATTCCTTCTATAATCTGTTTAGCGTGATGGTCAAATAACACATGTTTTTTAATTATACGGTTACTGTGGTTGTGTGGTAGATCGACTGATTACAGTGAACAGAACAAATATGTTGATAGCTATGAGTATGGGTAAATGAGCTTTGTAAGACTTGACACATGTACACTATGAAATACAAATTTCCGTGTTTGTCTTTGATGAGAAATAGTACAATTTTAATCAAGAGGGTCAATAGTTTCTATGGACTGACCCAGACAAAGCGTCACTTTAACAGTACCTTTGTTTCAAAGGCATTTCAGGATTCATCAATAAATCCATTAGACTGGAGCACAAAATAACGTCTGCTGCGCGAGACAAAACTTTCATATGTTTGTTTTAACAAACTCAATTTGTTAAACTTTGGTTTGCTAGTTGAAGGACTACCAGATATAAAGCCATAGAGTCAGCTATAAATAGTGACAGGGTCTTGTCTTTCTTCCCCAGTTGCAATAACCTGATGATTGTTCGCCAGTTTACCTGCAGAGCTGTTTTATTTGCCCACTTGAGAAAACCTGGGGGCAGACAAGCCATGGCTAGACCAAGCTCAGGTAAAATTGATTATTTACAGTCTCTGCCAACTACTCTGCTACAACAGTTGTTGCTAACAACTGTCGTAGCATTTCACTGCCTCACTGTGTTTATGTGCAGATCTGGCAGCATTCAGGGAGATTTTCTCCAAAGCCAAGAATATCGCCATCATCACTGGAGCAGGGGTGAGTGCGGAGAGCGGAGTTCCTACTTTCAGAGGAGCGGGAGGCTACTGGAGAAAATGGGAAGCACAGGTATGCACCTACAGCTGTTGGTCCAGTACAACCAACTCTCGTGCTTTATTATGAGTTTTTAAAAATATTTCAGAGAGAATCATAGGTCATGATAAAAATCTAATTGCACAATTCAAAACTGTTAGGAACTGGCCACGCCTGAAGCCTTTGCCAGAAATCCCTCACGTGTTTGGGAGTTCTACCACTACCGGCGTGAGGTCATGCTCACAAAAGATCCCAATCCCGCTCACCTGGCCATCGCTGAGTGTGAGGAGCGTCTGAGCAAACAAGGGCGCAAGGTCACCGTCATCACGCAGAACATCGACGAGCTCCACCACCGAGCTGGATCCAAAAACATCCTGGAGATCCACGGTGAGCAAAGATCTCTGATGCGGGCAAACAAACTTTTCTGTATGATAATTGTTGGTTCATATTTTGTATGTGTTTTTTTCTTTGTTTTTGTGGAAATACAGGAAGTCTGTTTAAAACACGTTGCATGACCTGTGGCCATGAAGCAGCCAACTACAAGAGCCCTATTTGCGCTGCCCTCGAGGGCAAAGGGTAAGAGCGTCATCCGGTGCGGTTTGGTATATTGGACTGTGTTTTCCCAACAGTGTGAAAATGTGTTATAAGAGATATCGATCGCAGTCATTTGCGCCCCAAATGCCAGAGAAAGCGGGCTGTTTCAGTCAGTCAAATGTCAGTGAGCTAAATAACACCTGATGACACGGTGAAAAAGGAAAATATGTGACACAAATCAAATGTCACTTTAGAAGCCGCCGTGCCACTTACCTGACATTTAAAATGGACGATGTTGATAGCTGACAAATATTCCTGTGGTGAATTCAGTCTCAGCTGCAGAGTGGATGAAGTCACGCGCTGAAATTCAGAATGAATAGCAGAACCGATCATGTCATGTTGAAACGTATCTGTACTGACTGTGCTGTTAGCGATTCAGATTAATTAAATTTTCTTTCCTATTGCTACTGCTCAAGGTGTGGAGACATACTGGTGTGCCTTATTACAGCACTGCAAATGGGTAATGAAAAAAAACAAAAAACTAAAGAACTGAAAATATCATTTTGAGTTTAGATGTCTTTCTAGTTAAAAGTATGAAAATTGTTTTAAAAAATATTGTCAGAAATTCTTGAACCACCCTTATTTCTTCACATTTTGTTTCCAAGGAGCCAGACTTTCTTGTAACTTTAAAAACTGCTCTTGAGAAATACTTCTCTGGGCTTTCTGGAGGTCTTTCTGTCATTGTCAGTCCACTTCATGTACTTGACCAGTTTCAGAGGAATGTTTTCTTTGTTCAGCCACTTAACACTGACCTTTTAATCATTCGAGCATAAAAAAATGGCTCTCTCAAGGGATGAACATGTGTTGTGTCTACACATAAACAAGTTTAATTTGTATCTTTGGGCACTTTGTTGCTAGCAGCCTGCTGCAAAAACACATCATTTGTCCACATTTCTGTAGTCGATTCTAAAGGAAATGCGAGCACAGTTTGACAAGGATAAAAGTTGTATTTTTACAGCAAAAAAAATAAAAATCCCAAAAAGCTAATCTCTGAAAACTTGAATCTAAATCAAATAAACAACAAATCCCACTAAGATTAAGAGGCTGTGGAATGCTTTCGTGCTCACGGAAACGCTCATAACAAGCAACCAGCTTTAAGCCAACATATTAGAACCACTCATCCAACAACATCAACGACACAGCCCTGCAATCACTTGGGTCGCATGCATCCTAAAAAATAGACAAAGAATGGTCAAACAGATTCACATGGAAGAAGGCACAAGTGTAGGAGGTTGTTGAGTTTTACCAGGATGTCAATTATATATCAGTAAAAGCGTACTTTATGGTCCTGCGATTGTCTGTCTCTCTGCTTATACGTTTCTATTCGGACAAGGGGGAAGAGCAGTTTACGCTTGCCTCAAAAAGGTTCGCATGCAGCTCTCCAAGATCCTGATTCTTAGTCGTTGTAAGCAGCCAACTCAGAGGCAACTCCTCCAGAAAGGAAAAGTGACCTATTCCATGATTAAAATCCATGATCGGATTAGAAGCAGGGGTGTAACAGATCACAGAACTCCTGCTTCTAATCCGATCATGGATTTTAATCATGGAGCAGGTCACTTTTTCTTATCATCGAAATATAACTTTGCTTTTGATAAAAACAAATGAATTTAAGATAAGATAATATAACTCTTTATTACCATTGCACAGTCATACCTAGTACAATAGTACAACGAAATTGGAAACTGTCCCACGTTGGCACGTGGATTTTACAGAAACCCTAAAGAGCTTTTGCTCCTGGTCTTCACTGAAATAACATAAACAAAAAATGATTTTGTGAAATGCAGTATAACCAAAGTAAGTTATGATACCTTTGTCTGCATTCTAAACAAGTAAAAAAAGACCACTCACAACAAAGTAAACAGCTCATAATGTCACTGTCCCCTGCTGTGGAGAACACCCTCTTACTACGAAGTGAGGTGCTAGGCACAGTGGGATAGCATCTTGCCATCATGGCAGTGTGACGATATTAACACGTACTGCTTCTCCACCGTGCCAGCGCTGCTTTTGTAACATGCCACCTCCTCTTTGATAGTGTGCAGGTGTCTTGCCCGTGTCCTTCCCAGCTGACTCCTTGTGTGGAGGAGTTGCCTCTGAGTTTGCTGCTGTTGGTGTTGGTTTTGTGGCCCAGATGTGAACTTGCAAAGAAATTACAAGCTATTAGACAATTATTGATTATGAAGCTATTTCTTTCTTAATTTATTATTTTTTAAGCACTTCCATTGCCACAGTCTCAGTGGTGCAATCACTGTAGGTCTTTGAGTCTTTAATGCAGTACATCTGTGAGGGCAGTGCTATACCTGAAAGTCAGTGTACCTGAGGCTCAGGTTCAGTTCAGTTTTATTTATATAATGCCAAATGGGGGTGTGGCTGTAGCTCAGGAGGTAGAGTAGACCATCTACTGATTGAAAGGTTGGTCGTTCAATGATGTCAAATATCCTTGGGCAAGATACTAACCCCAAATTGCTCTCCGATGCATCCATCAGAGTGTGAATGTGTGTGAACGTTATCTAGTAAGCGCTAAAAGCATAGGAGAAAGTGCTTATGTGAATGGGTGTAAATGGATAATTGTGGGATGTCTAGAAGAGTAGAATCGGTATATAAGAATCAGTCCATTTACCATTTAAATTACAACAACAGTCACCAAACGTACAATAACCATTGTCTCACTTGGCAACAGTGGGAAGGAAATAACTCCCTTTTAACAGGAAGAAGCTTCTGGCAGAACCAGACTCAGTGAGGAGCAGGAATCTGCCCTGACTAGTTGGGGTGATGGGAAGAAGACAGGATAAAGACAGGTCACCAAAGACAAATTATGGGTCACACAAAGCTACTTTAGCAATATTCAGTAAGAATATGAAGTGAAAACTGAGCATAGACTCTTCATTTCTTTATCTGTGCCTAAAAAAATTATTTCTTTGAAATAAAGGTTATAGCCCCAATTTTTTCTCCAAAGTCTGTTGAGAGTTTTGTTTTTTTTAACTTGCTGGAATGAGTTTTTTCAAGTGAATGGGTAACAGTTACACCTGTAGCCCTGTGTCTGACCATGTCTGCGAAATATTAGGTGCATTTAGAAGTGGTTTACTTGGTAGTGGAAACTAACATCTCAAAGGCAACCTAACTGTCTCCTCAGAGCTCCGGACCCAGACACGCGAGATGCTGAGATCCAAGTCCAGAATTTGCCCAGGTAAAACACACTTACACTCTCTCTTTTAACACACAATTCTTTTCAAATGAATTTATTTGTTTTGACAAAGTGTGTGTGTGTGTGTGTGTGTGTGTGTGTGTGTGTGTGTGTGTGTGTGTGTGTGTATTTCAGGTGTGAGCAGACAGGCTGTCACGGTCTCCTTAGACCAGCTGTGGTTTGGTTTGGAGAGACTCTGGATGCTGACATCCTCACCCGTGCAGAGAAAGTGTTGGACAGCTGTGACCTCTGCCTCGTGGTACGTGTGTTTGTTTGTTTGTGTGTGTGTGTGTGTGTGTGTGTGTGGGGGGGGGTCACAGGACAGGTAGAGAATTTATAGAGGTGCTATAGGACCAGAGATTCTACACTGCATCTTTCCAGGTACAGCAGAGCTTCACAACCTACCTCAGCAACACAAAAAGCCGCTTTGTTTTTGGCGATGTTGGCAGGATATTCAAATTTTAAAAGTTACATTTTATTACAGCGTGTAATTGCGGCCTGCTTAATTGACAGCACTCCAGTTTGTAGTAATCAGCAGAACCTTTCTCTCTGTTTCCTGGGTATCTCGCTTTGCAGGTCGGTACTTCATCCGTCGTGTATCCTGCAGCCATGTTTGCTCCTCAGGTGGCAGTCAGAGGCGTCCCTGTGGCTGAGTTCAACATGGAAAACACTCCCGCCACCATGCGCTTCAAGCACGTGTCATTTACTTTTGCACAATGACACACTCTTTAATTTCATTGCACTCTGTAGATAATTCTTTTTTTTCTCACCAGGTTCCACTTCCACGGCCCCTGTGGGACCACCTTACCCCCTGCACTGGCGCGCCATGAGACTGAACAAGAATGAAAAAAAAAACACGACTCCTGGAATGTTGGCTTTACAGAGACCGGGTTGTCTTAAACCAGAAACGTTTACTGGTAGTGCCAAGAAAATTGGTTTCTGTGTGACGAGCAACAGGCGTGAAGGATGTGAAGACGAGGCCAACAAATTATCTGTCACACAGATAACACGTTTAAGAATTTGACTATATTATCAATATGTGCACACAGCTGTAAGAGTTTGCTGATTGAGTGGCTTCTGGTTTCTAATTATTAGGCTGTGATGAGAGTAACTGATTTAATTGTCATCAGGTTGTAGCAGATATTGCAGTAATGCCAAATCACCCCTATTTGATGTCAGCAATGATTTGTGAGTTTGTTTGTTGTTGGGGTTTTTTTTTTTTTTGGGGTAAAAATGAGTTGCTGAAAAAGAAAAGGAAGACAGTGGAAAGCAATGATAAATGATTAAATACCATAACCAACGTCATCACTCATTGGGCAATGAAAGGCTTTTGATTGCCTGACAATAGGGGGCAGTGTTTAGCTACCTCAGCTAAAGCCTGGTGGTTGGTCTCCAAAAAAAAAACAACTCCTAAAGGATTTTTGAGCTTTGCCTGGGATATGTGGGGCTTGCGTATGTTGATGCTGTGTGAATTTAGAGACTGTGAGGAATGGTGTGCATAATACCTTCCAGCGGCTACGAGTGTGCTCCTGTTAAAGCCGGGACAACGGAGACTGTGTGTTACCTCAAGCAGTCGTGGGGACACACAATGCACACGCGAGTGCTCATGAATGATTTGTCGCATGTATGTTAATATTTTCACACTATCAGAACAGCTTGTGGAAATTTGAATGATTCAAATATTGAAGTGTCTCACCAAAGCTTCCTGTGTGGATCTAACATACTGCACGAGTTTCAAGTAATGCAGCAGTGTGAATGGCGAAAGATCAGAGAGTTTATACTACCGCAGTGTAATGGGTGATGTTCTGCTTTCTGAAAACATCTCAAAGATGAGATTGTGCCTGACACTTGGCTGCTTGGCCACAGCTAGCACAACCTCTCTCCATTATCATCACTGAAGCATAAATACACAATGTACACTAGTGGAGTCCAGTTTGAATTTCTGTGTATTATTACTTATCGCACCTGATCTTTGCAAGATCTGAAGATCATCAGCAATTATTTGAAAGGAGTGAAATTATAAACATCAAGAAATTATTGATGTACATATTTATGTTCTATTATCAAAAATATCAACAAAAATAATATAATATGTACTCATTACAGCGAATTGGAATATATATATATGTGTGTATATATATATATATATATATATATATATAACTGAATTATAAATTTGTCACAAGTTCCCAAAATTGCTACACTGACTCCATAGAATACACCCCACTCTAATATGGATTATGAAAAATGTAGACCACACACACACACACAAACAGTCAAACTGGAAATGAACATCAACATCCAGTTTGTATGAAAATGTACAGTTCTGTGTAAAAGTCCTGCGCTATCTGCCATGTCTTTATATTTTGCTAGGAAAATGAAAAATGGGTGCAGCAAATTATTGAAATGTGCACAAAAATAAAGTGTATATGCTTGTACATTTCCAACAACCTTTGAAGGTTAAACACAGTGTGAGCTCTCTTAGACAAGGTAATGATAAATGGAACTATATGGTGCTTTCTACTCTGGTTGAGCAGAATAGAAAAGCCTTCTTCACACAAGCATTTGTTTCTCGTGTAAATAAAATGCGAAAATGTGGAGGGAAGGGACAGTGTGATTGACATGTGGATAAAATGTCTTTCTCCTCACCTCAAGCCTCATCTCCTGAACTGAAGTCAAGGCTTTCACACAAAAATGTGCATAAACAAGATGATTTATTGCTGATGTTTTTGCAGGTACTTACTGTCATTATATTAGACATGCGACCATACCATCTCTCTCTGACAATGAGCCAGATAAACAACAACTGGTTATAAGCTAAGCTAAGCTCCGGCTTATGTGTCTTAAAAATCCCACTTTCTCTCTGATAAACAGTTTAGTTTCTTTGTCACAACATATGAGATTTTATTCACTAAATGCGTGACTCCAACAATGTTAGATCCCATTCAAAGAACGTTTCCCTAATGCCCGCTAACAGTAGCAAAAGCAGCAGTGCTTATCAACAGTAAAGCTCAGCATATTCTCAACAACAACATTCTCAGAAATCCTGGAGTACTATTGGTCAAGATACTTATACTGTTATAGTACCTTTAGAGTGCTTCCATGTACTGAACGCCTCAGGAGTAGAAATAACAAAAAAAAAAATACACTGGTCTCTCACTAGTTTTTTTCTAACTCTGCTGAAGCTTCAAGTTAGTTTCTCACGTTTTCACGTCTCCTGTAACTTACTAACTTACTAACTAAAATCCAAGCATGTCTTTTCAGATTTCAGAGGTAGCTTTTGTGCAATCGACACATAACCAGTAATAACCAGAGATTATCAGTTGTGGTTCTTAATTACCATTACAATGGTGGATTTTGACAATAAATTCATGAGCATCTGCATGAGCAACCATATACAATATCCAGCCATACTTGTTTTCCCTGTTGCAAGTTGAACATGCACAGAATTGTAAAATCCTTGAGTGTCTTGATGGAAGACTATGCAAAACCAGTTTCAGAATTCAGAGTGGCACCTACAATTTGCTGCTAAAACTGCTAATGAATTAAACACCACTTCTGCCACTTCAAGACTGACCAGGTATGTACAACAAATAATGTTACAAAATTCCCCAAAAATCAAAGTTCCCATACTTGGAACATGGTGCCAGTGAAATAATTTCATACAGCTATTTCAATGTCCAAGTTCAGCCCTTGAAAATATGACAGTTGGCGATCTAAGTACATAAATTCAATTTGATATCTTTCAACACCGTCATATGCTATTAATACACATTGCAGTTTTGTAATTTGCTGTTTAAAAAAGTGCCAAATATCAACTCACCCCATATATTAGAAGAACTGTAACTCAGACAGTTCATAGTAGGGAGGTAAAAATTTACATGGCTTAATTATGAATATTAAAGTTATTTTTCCCAAACCCAGGTGATTCTGGGAGCATCAAGTGGAAACTTCTCTCAGATTTGACTGGTTTTGCTACCTATCATTTACATTGGATTCCTATTAGGAAGAGTAGTCAAGGCTGTATTAACATGAGTATGAAGTCCTATAAACAGTAACACTTCTGAAACTGAACAATCTGTATTGGCACTACTGTTATTATTTTAGGACAGGCTATAAAAATATAAACATTTTCTCGTTCAACAATCTCAGGATTTCAGGTGCCAGAAAAGTCTGGAACCTCCTGCTGTTTATGTGCCTGACATTTCCCTTTCCTGCCCACAAAGAATCCAACATCCTAGACTGCTATTATCTCAGCATAAACACAAACTGTGCACGATCCAATCCCTGCTCTGTCAGCAGGCGTTATTAATATTTGGCTAATCTGATTTTCATATTAGCTCCAAGAAATCTCATCTCACCAATTCATTCCATCTTCCTCTGCTTTTACTCGGATACCTTTCGCGGTGCTGTTTTCTCTCTCCCCTCTCATTGTACATCTGCCATGTGTGTGGTGTTTGAGACGCCATGCCTCCCTCCCTCCCTCTACAGCTACGCCTCCATCACCTGCTCATTAGAGAGAGGATGATGGTCCGACGGTCCCTCATGACTCTGCTCCAAAAATAACAGAGCCAATTTCCCGGCTGTTAGGCGGCGATTTCACACCAATCTCAGTTGTACTGCCCAGCGAGGCCTGTCAAGGAGAAAGAGAGGCAATGAAAGCTGACGAAAAAAGGTGGAATAGAAGAGGATGGGAAAAAATATAGGTCAGACCTACAGTATCTGAAAATACAAGCTCTATATTGTATAAACATACTGCCCTCATCAGTCAAAAGATTTTTTCACAAACTTAGATACAGTTTTTGGAACAAAATGTAGTTTTTATACATTTTGTACAATATGTGTTCATTTTATTTTTCACTTTTGACTGAGCCGAGCGAACAGCTCTCTCCTTCCTCAAGTCCCTGTGTCACAAAAGTCCTTCAGTATTAATTTAGCACAGTTTACAGTATCATCGTGGTTGTAATTCTAATATACATTGCTACATTTATGTCACAAATTTAGAGGATCATCATTTAGGAGAAATAGTTTGCTGCTTTATAAGAAAGCCCTCCGCAAAGCCAGAACATCTTACTATTCGTCACTGATTGAAGAAAATAAGAACAACCCCAGGTTTCTCTTCAGCACTGTAGCCAGGCTGACAAAAAGTCAGAGCTCTTTTGAGCCAACC